CTGCCACTCCCACTTCTCTCCCCACCCCCCCAACAATATCACACTGTTGACTCATATTTAGTTTGTGGCCCACTATGACTCCTAGATCCCTTTCTGCAGTACTCCTTCCTAAGTAGTCATTTCTCATTTTGTATGTGTGCTACTGATTGTTCCTTCCTAAGAATGCATGCTGATGTACACTATAATTCTTTTTCAGTTTTTGTTGTTTGTTTTGTTAGTAGTGATCATATACAACTTTGATTTGTGGAGGGAGACAAGTGGAGCACGTGGAGGGTAGTTTTGTTCGTTTTGTTTTATTTTGGCCATGACATATTAGTTTGTTGACTGTATTCCCTGTTCTATCTCTCTGGAACCTAGACACACCCTCCTTGTCCTATCCCCAGACCTTTGTTTCTGATCAAGCCAAGTTAAAGATAGCAAAAGCACTGCTGAGTTTCTAAGTGTGTGTGCTGTATCTGGGAAAGCAGCAGTCACCCATTACCAGACCTAATATTAAAAGAACAGAAACATCTCTGATCTTTGCTTTGTTTTGTTCTTAAGGACGGGAGCAGAAACACAAGTAGCATCTTTGTCTCCAGATCTTTTTGTTTCGTCTTGGTCATTCCATACTCTGTTTTAGAAAGTATGTTTGAGAGCGTATAACTGACTAGACTAGCTTTCTTCCCACTTGTGCTCAGTGCACAAATTCAAGAGTATTGCTCTAAGGTAGGTATTTTCAAAAGCACTTAGCTCTGGCCAATTCTATGTGATAGAGAGGAAAATAAACTTTTAACTGTGCATGATGTATATGCTTTCAATGCACAAACTCTCAGGAAATAGATGAATGTGTTGAGTAACAAACTTGCACAAAACTGGAGCTAAAAGTTGACACTACATTCGTTCTCAATTTTTTCAACATCAGTAAAAGAAAATAAATCTTTCAGCAGCTGATGCACCAGGTTCACGGGCAAGATGAGAACAGTTTTAAGCTGGTGTCGTTTCTTTGTCACTTTCACTTCTGTTTATTTAAAAATAATGAAAAGGAAGAAAACCTCATAACACTGATTTTTAAAAAAGTAAGAAATTCTGAATAATGGCAACTGCTTATAACATGCCAATCTGCAGTCAGTATGGAATATAAAATTTCAAACTACTTGGGAGTTCTTTGGTCCTTTCTTGTGCACAAAGAGTTGAATTAAGGTTAGAACAGTCTCATCTGTGAATATCCTTGCATTTTCCAGCTTCAATCAGACCTTGGACATGAATTTAACTTAATTTTTGCTATTTGTATTTAGATAGAGTGATGGTTATTAGATAAGCAGCTAAGCAATGATTTGAGTGGGGTTCATTGTGAAATAGCCTTGATTCTGCACCCTTAGGGAGAACTTGTTAAGCTGAGATTTGGAAAACTTTTCAGTATTTAATATGTGCAGCTTTTAATGCTTTAATACAATTCCTTTATCTACATAATGAGATTATGTGTTGGCAGTATTATTTCTTTTCTTTACAGAAATTCAATTCCACTTTACTGATTGTTCCTGAAAGCAGCTGACCACTTCCTATGTTCAAACTTAATGGAGAGCTAAGTGAACTGCCATGTTTTATCCCATCACTCTGTCTCCAAATAGTAATATGGTGTCATCATAATAAAATGTGATAGGAATTAGTCCTGCTGTTTGGTTAAAATATGTTTTCCCACACTATCAAATGCTATTTGCATTGCTACAATACTGTCTGCTTATTATCACACATATAGTAGAGCAGGGGTTCTCAAATTGCATTGTACCACAATTCCCTTCTGACAGCAACAGTTGCTTTATGATCCAGAAGAGGGGGTCAAAGCCTGAGCCCCACTGCTCCAGGTGGGAGGGAGGCTGCAGAAGCTGAAGTCCAAGAGATTCAGCTCCAAACTGGGGGGGGCTATATCCTGAGTCTCACTATCTAAGGCTTTGGCAGCCCTGGGTTTCAAGTATAAGCGAACCCTGCCAACTCCATTAAAATGGGATCAGAATGCATTTTGGAGCCCCAGTTTGAAAACAGATGCTTATATAGAGGCTCATATAGTCATGATATGATTTAGTTCCAACTTCCATTTACCCTCCTTCCATTGTCAATAACACTTAAGTATGCATTTAACTATAAAAATGTACAATCACATGCTTATTCAACTAAATGCTTCAGCATATACTTACATCCCTTGAAGCCAGAGTATTGTACTAAAACTTCTGACATAGCTTATTTTTGAGAAATAAAACTTAGGTTAAGAATGAAGAATACCAATGTGTGCATGCAATGGAGTCAGTAGGATAGTGTTTCTTAACGTTTCCGGACTGCTGTTCCCCTTTCAGGATCTGATTTGTCTTGCATACCCTAAATTTCACCTCCTTTTAAAAACTACCTGTTGATAAAATTAGACATAAAATACAGAAGTGTTGCAATACACTATTACTGAAAAATTGCTGACTTTTTCATTGTTATATTGATTGGAATATAAATATTGTACTTACATTTCAATGTGATACTTGAGCCCGTTTTTCACTTGTGAGCCTTGTCTAAAGTCCAAGTCCTGGGCATTGGGGCTGAAGCATGTAACTTCGCTTTGTGGCACACCCTGTGGAATGGGACCATGGGCCATTGCCTTGCTTGCATCCCTCTAATGTTGGCCCTGCATTTGCAATTGCTCTAAACCCATCTCGTGGGTCCTTCAGGGCTGCAATCTCAAAGCTGAAAAACACTTATCTTGATGAGTTGCATGCCTTTTGGTAGACTTTTGCTTACCCTGGTTGAGAAGCACTGCAGTAGGGGATAGATGTTCCAGGGAGCCTTTAGCACTCTTTATTGTATGTTACTGGATGAAGGTCATGTCCATAAACATGGCATGATTGGGATGTTTATTTATCCCTTAGGTCTGTAGCAATTTCTCCTTTTAATGTTATAGTCTTCTCCCATACCTAATCCTGGAAGAGTAATTAATAAAATTGCCTTTTCCAAACTGCATTAGAGAGTTGCCTTTGGTTTTAATTTGTCTTTCCCTTTCACTAGAAAAGTGTCTTTTAATATTGGTTGTCCCTCCAGACACTTGTAAGTAAGTCATGTGTTTTGCTCTCCAAATCAGTACACTCCAGAGCTGAATGGCATGTGCCTGGTAGCCATTCCCAGGACCCTAGTATCAGCACAAGCAGATATTCAGAAAAGTGAGAGAATAGAAGTGCAAAACACTGATCTTCTAATAAAATCCTCATTAAAAATGACCTCTTCAATGAAAAGTACTTGTGGAAGCAATTCTAGAGCACCAAGGCAAGCAAGGGCTCAGAGGGAGAGGAGATATGGAAATGGATGTAGGCATGCTATGCTGCTCTGTGTGCAACAGATGTTAAAATACTCACTGTAGTACAGTAAAACTCCAATCGTACGGCATCCAATCGTATGGCACTCCCGATAGTCCAGCATCAAAATGGCAAGAGCCTAGTGAGTGAGCTTTGGCAAAAAACGAGTCACAAGGCAGCAGCTGAACTGAGTGAAAAGGGTAAAAAAGGGTTAAAAAAATTAAAACATTACAGTATACTGCATACAATATGTACAATAAAAAGGTTAAAAACACTTTATATACGGTATATACTGTATAAAGTATATATATAACCATTTTATAGTACCTGATGATAGTCTGGCATATCTAATAATCCGGCACCACTGTCTAGTGTATTTTGGAATAAAAAAACACAATGGGGACTGTAGCATGCTAATATATTGTTTTTAAACAGTAGAACATGATGAATATTGGTTATCCATAGATGAAGTAAGTTAACCAAAATTTTGCAGCAAACATACTATTTGCCAAAAAGTATCTTTACGTACATAGTGTTTCAGTGAAGTGTTTGTTTGTTTGATTACAAATATAGCACCCCTGATGCAAATATACTCCATCTTTCATGCATGCCTCCTGTTCAGAACAGATGATAACTACCGTAGTAACTTCCTTTCCAATGCTAGCTTTAAACAAATAAGTGAATAGTCGAGGTTCATGATAAATTTGTTAAATTGTTTTAACATTATGTGCTTGTTTGCATTTGTAAAGCTCATAATTAGACAATAAAAATTCAAGTGACAGAAAACTTTCTTGACTGAGTTTTTGTACGATAAACAAAATATCATACCAGTATAGAGAGAGATCCTGTCTGTGTAAAAGCTCTGAAAAGGGTATGCTGCATGCTGCTTCACTTTGCATTGGTCAATGAATTAATAGAATTATATGTATGTACAATGCATGTGTCTTCTGTCAGAATTCTTTCTACATTGCCAGATTGCTTTCACAATTGCACATATTTTGACTTACACTTGTATTATAATTACAAAACATCAATACTCCTATTTCACTTTCAAATTTATTTTTTATACTAAAATATCCTAAGAGGTATGTAAAACTACATGTTGCTAACTTTAATATCACAAAAGTATATCACTAAATGCAGATTACACAATGGAAATTATCACTACATGTCCATATGTGTGTGTCTACAATTTGGCATAAATTTGAAGTCTATAAATTATGGAGTAGCATAGTTTTGGTTTATATAAAATGAAAACCTTAGTTTGTAGATGCACTCTCATAGATTTCTGAGGCATCCATATTTCTGCTGTTTCCTTGACAACAACTGTATAGATGCTGCTATCACCATGGGAATGGTTCTTCTGAATGAAGCTGCTACTTCCAAAGGGGATGTTGGAAAAAGAAGAAGTAAGTTATTTAGTATAATTTGCAGAATCTCTCTGAATTTTACTTATTGAAGGCATTTTTTAAAAACACCAACATAGAATTTCCACTCAGGTTAAAGTTTCAAAAGTGCCTAAGTCCTGCTCTGAAGACAGGTTTTTGTACCAGTATAACAATTTCAGTTAGTGGTGTGATTTATTTTTCAAAATAATACAAGGTCCAACCCTTAGTATAAATATATCTGTATCTGTATCAGCATAAAGGTACCTTTTTACCCATATAGCTTAGGCCTTATGATCTTCCCCTATGGAAATAGCTATGCCAATATAAAATACATCCATGGTCCCCAACACGGTGCCCGCGGGCGCCATGGTGCCCGCGGGGGCATTTGTCTGCGCCCGCCAAGTGCTCAGGGCTGGCCTGGCCCCGGGCATGTGGCGCATGCGCGGTGCCAGAGCCGGCCCCAGGTGCGTGGCGCGCGGTGAGCGCCGGCCCCGGGGGCGCCACGGATTGACCCCCCTGCGGCGCATGGGGGGGGGAGAGCGCCAGCGCCGGCCCCGGGAATGCAGCTATGGGGGGGGCCCGCTCGGGGGGGCCCCGCCCCCTGGGCGCCCGGCGGGCGAACGGCCACGCCCCCTGGCACCCGGCAACCCCAAATGGTTGGGGACCACTGAAATACATTTACACTGATATAACTGGATCCACACTAGGTGAGTTATACTTCTCTAATTATAATTGTACAGTTAAAGCAGTGCTATTTTTGTATATAGAGAAGTCCTAAGTTATTCAGGAGCAAAAATATAACATTTTCTAAAGCACCAAAATTATAACATTTTCTAAAGCATCTAATTACTATAGGAGCTTAAATCTTATTGCAAGTCAATGAGAGTGAGGGTGGGAGTTTCAAAAACATCTATGTCAAAAGTGATTTCGGCATTCAGAAGTGTGAGTCCTCGTTGACTTTCACTAGAACATGTGTATTCTATACTGGATCAGACTCATCCAGTTGAGTAAATGAGGGGAAGGATAGCTCAGTAGTTTGAGCATTGGCCTGCTAAACCCAGGGTTGTGAGCTCAATCCTTGAGAAGACCATTTGGGGCAAAAATTTGTCAGGGATGGTACTTGGTTCTGCTGTGAAGGCAGGGGTCTGGACTTGATCACCTTGCAAGGTCCCTTTCAGTTCTAGGAGATAGGCAATCTCCATTTTTTAAAAAATAACTTGGTTCCAAAACTGGCCAGTGCCAGATGCTTCAATACTTTGCAGAATGCAGATAGAGGATTTTCAGAAAGTTATAAGTATTCTTGTATTCACCATCTCATTCCTCATGCATCTTAACATCATGCTGGCTTTTTTAGCAATAGCTGCACATTGAGTAGAGATTTTCATCAAGCTGTCTACTGTGATTCCCAAGTCTCCTTCAAATGGATGTAGGCTGCAAAGATAATTTTGAAAAAAATTGTTCTCAGTCCCTTATTTACTATCAATGTCAAAATAGATAGCTGCTTAATTGAAATTTGACTGTAGCTATCCGATCACATTTCTTGGATTTGTGAGTCTATACTACATGACTGCCAGATTCTGCCTTTATTCCCGAGGATGAATAGTATCGTACTTTACACGCATCTCTATTGAAATAAATGTTATGCTCATAGAGTGAAGTGTAACCCAATATGAGTTAGGAATGGTAAAATCTGGCCCTGAAGTAGTGACAAGAAGCAGTGTCTGAAAATGTTCCAACATTTTGCTTTCTGATTTAAAAGGAAAAGAAGAAATAAGGAAAGTTGCTAGCTATCATCTGCCATTTAAAGAGATGACATGTTAATCGTAACATACATATATAATGTGTATATATAACATACAAAACTAGCATAATTGCTGAAGTATTATTTGAAAAATGTTAAAATTCCTATTCAGAGTAGTCAAGTCCTTTCAATTGATAGTCTCATTATATTTATTTAACTGGCACTTACCAACTTATTTTTTAATAGAAAAGAGACTTATTATCTTGTAATGCAATACTGCAATGTGTGTATTAATAATAGATAATGATTTAATTTTATAAAGCTACTGAACTGTGGAAATGCCAATACTTACACTGAGCTCCACTCCAGGCATGAGGACTTGAAGGGATTAGGTATACTGTCCTTGCAGCAGCTCCTGTTGATGAAAATATTGGTAGATGTCTTTCAGTGTCCTTCAAAAAGAGATTCTTGTGCATTACAGCCTAATATGGCATTACATTTCAGTCAGAATGTAATTAAGATACTGAAGTTCTACACATTTAGAGCCTGATTCTGAGAAATGCAGAGCTTTTGCATCTCCCAGTGCCTTCAGTTTTGGTTATCACACATCACCAGTTTTGGGATAAAGACTTTTTTTTTCAGTTTCTCATGAAACTGTTGACTCAGGACGAAGTACACCAGGCTTTCCTGCATCTGATCTGGCCCTTTGTCAGATCCCAGGATGTGGCCACTTAAGGCATTTAGAACTTAATGGAAGTCATTGGCAAAATGACTTTTTTACTTCAGTGGTATCAGGTTAGTTCCAAGGTATTACACCAATTATTTCTCTATAAGGGCCCGAACTTACTTTTGTTGAAGTCAATAGGAAACTTTACATTGACTTCAACTGGAGTTGGATCAGAACCTATATTCTAAACAACTATCATGATTTTGAAAGTATTATGCTCTTTTTACAGAAGTGATGTTTCAAATCATGTTTGGTTAATTCTAGTTTGGTAGGTGACTATTTTTTGCTATTTATCTTCAACACTTAAAGACATATCCAGCAATCAAATAGTCTGACCACCTGAGTTTTAGAACTTAGCAGAGAGATGTACTTTTAACCACTTCTTTTTGTTCAATAAGTAATTGTTAAATAACTTTTGCTGTTCTTTAAACTAATTTTAAACTTAAAATTATTTGTTTTTCAACTGCTCTACTTATGACTCTGTGGCTTGATCTGAATTGCATACTTACTTCGATACAACTAAAACCCTTGGGCTGAAAAATTCACACCCCTGAGCAACATAGTTATGACTACAACTCCTCCCTTCATAGACATGCCAGACCTAGAGCCTCTCGCAGAGTTGGAGTTAATTGATAAGTTCTCTGTCAGCTTAGAGCATTTTCACAACATGCACTACAGTGGTATAGCTGCACTGTTGAAAATTTGTAGTGTAGACCTGTCCTGAGTTTAATAAGGTAGTCATTCTCTTTTATTTTTCTTTTTTTCTCTATCTCTTCTCTTCCAGATGAGCTAAAATAAATGGTTTCTCCAATTTATTTGAATAGGAATAATGTAATTTTTTTCCACACAACCCTGGTTGTTCAGATTCCAATTTATATTGGACATTCTTGATTAGCCTAGATATCATAAGGATATTGAATTAGTTAATTTTTTTTTATAATCAAAGGAATTTTCAGTGTATTAAATAGATATTGTGGGACATGATTGTTCGGTAAATAGGGATGTGCTGCATTGGCTATTAACAGAGAACAACAATTTCTACCAAAGTTATAAAATTTGACTCATCAGCTTTAAAAAAAATCTGTACTACTAATAGACTCCCTTTGGTGGGTGCCTAAGTGGCTAACACAAATCCTCCAACATTTCTGTGTGAACGTGACTTAAGACCATATCTTCACTACAGGCATTATGGAAGCATAGCTATGGCGCTGTACTTATGCTGCCATAGTATAGACAGACACATTTTTCATAACCCAGAATTCTGTAGCCATGTTGACCTAATTTTTAAATGTAGAACAGGACTAAAAAATTTTTATAGTCTTCTCAACCACATAAGATATAGGTAAGGTAACGCCTGTACTGCCTTAAATATGACTTAGTTTAATCTTAGGTTATGATGTGAACATGGTGACATTACTCAAAGGATATTCTAAGAGAAATTCATTTCTGAGTAAGAGCAAACAAGTACCTGATATTACATTGCCTGTAATGTATAACTTACAAAGATTTAAATATCCATGATCTCCAGCAAGGTGTTTGTATCCACAAACATTTTATACAAGCTGCAAACTACTGTTTCTTTAGCTTTAATAATACACTTATATGACAAGTAGTGGGGATTTTTTTTAAATAACCACAAGAAAATTATTTCCATATGTTTTTGATGTCCTGTAAGAATATACTGGGCATCAGAAGGCAATATATCAAAACTTTCCACATTTCTTTGTAAATGATTGACATAAATAGTATTTTTCATATAGGCTCCAGATATTCATCTTTTCCATGTTTTATGTGCTAGTAAACACAATATTAATATTTTCCAGTAATATGCCTGGTAGGACTGGGTCTGGTGGTTTTCTTCTTCAGCTTCCTGCTGTCGATATTCCGCTCCAAATACCACGGCTATCCATACAGGTAATCTTTGATGCTATTAAAATCCATTTTTATAATAAAATCTATACAACATTTTTAGAAGTTCAGAATGTTGGTTTGATCCGGCTGTTCTGACCTGTTGTATCAGCAGCTGTGCTGAACATTACAGGTAAAATGTGTTTGTGAGTGATTGAATTTCTTTGTAGAAGACCCACAACAGTTAATGTAGCTGAAGTAGAAGATGATGATGCTTGTGATGGTTGTTAGTTCCTGTGGAGCTTCATTCCACATCTCTGACTAGCCCTTAAGAAAGGTCTCTCTACTGCACAGATAAGCAATACCTTTATTCATTGTACTGGATAAATCACCCTGTCAAAACACTCCACAAGAAACTTCACATACAATATGAACTAAAACCACAAATACTTCAGAGCTGAATAAACAAACTCTGATGGGTATAATTTCCCCCACCCTTGGGACAGGAGAATATATCTAGTGCTGCATATATGTGAAGGATTCAAAATGATACAAGAGTGGGTGGTTAAGAGCATACATGCTAGAAATAAGTATAGAAACAATGTTTTTACTGTGAAATATTCACTGAAATGTGAATACAGCACAGCTGTCACTGTTTTTCAACAGGGAATATTTATATATCACCTCAACTGATTCTCAGATTATTAATGTTGTTATGTTTGTATTATTTTTGTTTTTTACTTTAATAACATGAAAGTTGTATCAAACATGCATAATCTACTGAGAACCATTGCACGGACCAGGGTGAGCACAGTTAATGGTGGCACCAGAAACTCCATAATGAAGTTAGCACATCTGGCTCAGTCTTGTGAAATCAGAACTTGCCAGGGCACCCCTTGCAGTAGGTATCAAGTAGAAGCTAAGTATGCACCCCTTCATGCATCAATAGGATATTTGAAAACATGGTAGCCTGGGATATTTTTGTCCAATCTGGTGACGTAGTAAATGAGTGAATAGAACAAGCAATTGAAAAAAGGGTCAAAACTATACGATGATTATGACAGTTGGCACACAGTAAACAAACCACTCCATGATGAGATTTTGACATTGACAGAGAATGTGGAATGTCTCTAATTGCTCTAAGTTTGCTTGTAAGAGGGTCCAAGTTTCTGACTTGTATAGCAATACAGGTAATATGTAGTTTGATGGAACTTTGTTTCAGCACAGACATATTTGCTTCCATAAGCATGGACTTCATACAGGAAGCAGTGTGACCTATTAATCAGTGAACGTCTGATTTTCTGTGACCATTTAAATTCTTATTGCAGCCTAGAGAGATGAACTTGTCAGCACTTCCCATGGTACTCGCATCCCCTTACACGAGTGGTTCTATGGCCCACCTGCAAGGTTCTGGACCATGTTTTCCACCATGAGAGATTCAATCCCACAGTGTGGTCAGCATCTTGGAGACCTTGGAGGGCAATGCTGAAATACTGCCTTTTCTGCAAGCAGGGTAGAATTGTTGACATAGGCTTGGTTTGAGGACACTTTTTTGGCCAGTTGTGGTTCTGATATATATGCAGCAAGGCCAAGTATTCTGTCAATAGATGACAGATTAGTTAGGGTGAGAATGCATTCCTGTCATACAGCTGAGATTGAATCTGTGAACCAACCTGCACACTCTTGCTAATACTGAACCAAAATCTTGTGTGTCAACCAAATGAAAAGTTAATTTGATATAGATGTATATCATAGCAAGTGGGTGTTTGCATTTTTGGTGAAGCTCAGCTAGAAGCTGGAGGTTAAAGACATCATAATATCTATTTTCAACCTGTCAACCACCCAGCAATGAATTCTGATTATTATAGATTATGTCTGTTAAGGAATGGGTAAATCCTACCAAACAGAATATGAACAGACATTTGCAGAGACCAATAACAATGAGATAGGCCTATAGCTGGCCCTCATCAGCTGTGTTTGTCATTGGCCTTGACTGGTTACCCTGACCATAACCAACTGAAGGTGGCATGCATTGACCAGAGATGATAATATCCTGAAGTAGAGCATCCCAAACTGCTGCTACCTGCTACCCATAACATGCATTCATTGGGAAAATCACTATAAATTATACATAGAAGGAACAAAATTTCTCTCTCTGTTAAGAGACAGATATCCTGATGATCTGTGAACTTATTGCTCTCTCTACTTCGTAAAATGGAAAATTTGGTAAAATCTCTTCAGCAACATTTCCATCAAACATGAAGGCGAGAAAGTTAAATTCTCCTCTGACTTCTATGCCTTTTACTGCATTTGCTTTTGCTCATTTCCTCAGGTCATGTGAGATGATGTGTTTTCTCTGTATGTTAACAAGAAATAATAGTGCATGGAACTGGAACTGTAATTTGCTTCGAGTAGTCAGAAGTAAGAGCTTGGCTTGTTCTTTTGTCACAAGTTTTTTTTATTTAATTCTTCACTACCATCATCTCAAAAACATCTGCAATATGTCTTAGAATTTTGCTACATTTTGCAAAAGTAAAAAAAGCATGGCATTTTGTCTGTTAGACTTGCATCTTGTGAGCTGTGTGGCTTTGTTATATTGTCTACTCACTTGGCTTTGTTTTATTGTCTTCTATCAATATGAAATCTAAGCACCTTCCACCCAAAACAAACAAACAAAAACACTTTCCTTTCCAGCCCAACCAACAGGAACTAGCTAAATTATTTATAAAAAATAAAGTATGACGATAGTGATCTGATGGATTGTTTTGGGAAAAATAAAGAACTGCTCTTACCTGTTTTATTAACATGGTCATAGTTGTGAACATTCTTATGGCAACAAGCAGTGAGTTCCACTGTCTTGGGTTAGCTCTTATGGAAGATACATCTGAGAGATACAATCCTTCTTGTGTATTGACAGCTTTACTTTTGCAATGGAACACACCTGTCCTGTGGTCATCATCACAGGATATGTAATCTTTCAAATAGCTAGAGCCAATACTATTCAAAGATTTGAAAATCATAGTCCATGTCATGAGTTAAATGCTAAATAAGAAGATACTCTGGGACACTTGAGTTTCCTGTGGTCTTGCCAAACCTGTTTTTATATCTCCTTTCTGCTGAGTTAGTTAGATGGCACATGCATCTTTTCTGCTATATGGCAATACAATTAAAAACACTCAGTGGCTATTGATGCTGTAAAAATCTACACCTTTATCTAAATGTATTTGTCAGCAAACCCTGAAAGTTAACATACCTGTCTCTAAAGCATCCGGAATAATTTTGATAGAAATGTAGCCGTGTTAGTCTGGGGTAGTTGAAGCAAAATGCAGGACAATGTAGCACTTTAAAGACTAACAAGATGGTTTATTAGATGATGAGCTTTCGTGGGCCAGACCCACTTCCTCAGATCAAATAGTGGAAGAAAGTAGTCACAACCATATATACCAAAGGATACAATTTAAAAAAATGAACAAATATGAAAAGGACAAATCACATTGCAGAACAGAAGGAGGATGCGGGGGGGTGGGAAGGGGGAGGAAGGAAGGTAAGTGTCTGTGAATTGCTGATATTAAAGGTAGGGAGAGTGGGATGTTTGTGAGTTAATGGTATTACAGGTGATAATTGGGGAAACTGTCTTGATAATGGGTGAGAAAGTTCAAAGACTTGTTAAGTCCCTGGTGGTAAGTGTCGAATTTTAACATGAATGACAGTTCAGAGGATTCCCTTTCAAGTGCAGATGTAAAAGGTCTTTGTAGCAGAATGCAGGTGGCTAAGTCATTTAGAGAGTGTCCTTTCTGGTTAAAGTGGCAAGAAACTGTTTTCTCTTTGTGATCTTGTCTAATATCTGTTTTGTGGGCATTAATCCTTTGGCGAAGTGTCTGAGATGTTTGTCCAATGTACATAGCAGACGGACACTTTCGGCACATGATAGCGTAGATTATATTTCTGGATGCGCAGGAATATGTGTTCTTGATCTTATAACTCACTTGGTTAGGTCCAATAATGGTATCAGCAGAATGAATATGTGGACAAAGCTGGCAACGGGGTTTGTTGCAAGGGAAGGTACCAGGGTTGGTATTAGTGTGGTATGTCCTGTGGTGGTTGGTAAGAATCATCTTGAGGTTAGGTGGTTGTCTATAGGAGACTATGGGTCTGTCTCCCAGAGCCTCTTTGAGTATGGTATCCTGTTCCAATATAGGCTGTAGTTTCTTGATAATGTGTTGGACAGGTTTAAGTTGGGGGTTGTAGGTGATGACAAGTGGTGTTCTATTGTTGGTTTTCTTGGGTCTGTCTTGAAGTAGATGGTTTCTAGGTATTCGTCTGGCTCTTTCAATTTGCTTTTTTGTTTCTCTGGGTGGGTAGTTGAGATTTATAAATGCTTGGTAGAGATCCTGAAGCTTCTGGTCTCTGTCAGTGGGGTTAGAGCAGATGCGGTTGTATCGAAGGGCTTGGCTATAGACGATGGATCGTGTGGTGTGTTCTGGATGGGAGCTGGATGCATGTAGGTAACTGTATGAGTCAGTGGGTTTTCTGTAGAGAGTGGTGTCTAATTTTCCATTGTTGATTTGTACGGTGGTGTCCAGGAAGTGGATCTCTCGTGTAGAATGGTCCAGGCTGAGGTTGATGGTGGGGTGTAGGTTGTTGAAATCTCTGTGGAATATCTCCAGTGTTTCTTGGCCATGTGTCCAGATCATAAAGATGTCATCGATGTACCGTAGGTAGAGGAGGGGTGAAAGGGGACGGGAGTTGAGGAAACGTTGTTCTAGGTCAGCCATAATAATATAAGGAATAATTTTGGTGTGATATAAATAGTAATTTGCAAGATGCAATATCACAGTTCTAAATGTTTTTAAGAGCCTATTTACGTTCTCTTCTGGAAGACAGCTACAAATAAAAAAAATTATTTCTGACACTCTGATTTACAGGCCTTGTGACTAGATACTTTACGGACTATTTCTAGTTATTCTACAAATGTCTTTTGCAGTCTTAATTTGTTTTGGATATAGATATGTGTATGTATATAGATGTATATGTATATATCTATATATTCCACAAAAGGTCTTTAG